TTGCTGAAATCGACGGAATGAAACGGCCTCTTTTCAACACACTGAAGAAACCATTAAAATCTAGCTCGAAATCGCCAATAGTCGGAAGCAACCATCAAAATGCTCATACCAAAGACGGTACATATGTACACCTGCACAGTTTCCATCCTGATGCTTGTCTTTTTTTTGTTTGAATAAAATAAATTAAAAGTATTCCTTTATTTTATTTACTGAAATTCGTTAAATTTAAATTTTAAGTTAGATAAATTATGTATTTGTTAATAATAAACAGAGCAGATCTCAAACCATCTCAAGTATTAGGTCATACTGTTAAGCCATAGAATTTTCAAAGTAATTAATTGTTAAATTATTTGTAGTGAATGGTCTAGGGACTTCTAGGCGAGGGTCAGAAATCTAGAAATTCATGAGTTACAACTTACAATGATGCCTTATGTTACTGTTATATTTATTAAGTAATAAATAATAAAAGCAAATATCACTTTAAAAATATATTTATTAAAAATTGATAAGACATGATGAGTTGAACATTATTGTTCAAAATAAAACAATTGAATTTACGTAATGATAATACTTGAAATTCGGGGTTGATCGGGATTTCTTTTTCCCTTTCGGTAAATTATTTTTGGAAAATCGACAGTATCTCTTTATTCAAACTAGTATTATTACTTTTTTATACTCATTTTAATCTTCTTCTAATAGAATTTTGAAAAGGTATTATATCTGAGTCAAAATCATTTATCCATATGTTTTTGTTGGCTATTAAATCCTAAACCAGATCTTTAAATCTCTGTTATGAGTTCCATAAGTAGGTCCATGTATTTTTATTCAAGACTGCAAAACCAACTCGTGCTTCTAAGGTAGCGCCTCAAATTTGTTGTTAATTTAATTTATTGTTATTGAATCATTACTAAAGTTCAACAATTTCTACGTTGTTTGTCGTATTTTATTATTAAACCAGAGCACGAAGCAACCATGGAGTGTTTACAAATATAAGCGAAATCGGGTTTCTTTTAACAGTTGAAAAACGATAAAAAATCACGAACTTTTTGGAAAATTTCATTTGGACATTACGTAGTCCTTGACATAATTAAAGGAAATGTTATAAATGAAAGTATAAGATTGATGTTTTGTTATTTAGTTCGTAGACAGGGCGTTCAAACACCGTACCAAAACGATGAAATGAATTTGTTAAATTATCACGTCTCCATTTTAGTATTTGTCATTCATTTTAAAGCAGAAGTTGGTATTTTAGAGCGAAGCTGATTCATAAATCTTTAACAACTTTGTTTTTTAGGTGCTAGCAAATATTTTGGGAAAGGGCAAAGATGTCTGTGGAGGTGATGGTGTGGTAATCATACAACCTAAAGACAATTGTAAGAGCGACGAAGATAAACTCAAAGTGGCCCCATTGCTAGAACCAGTGGGTGATTTGTGTCATAAAAAGGAAATCATTGTAAAACCTGCTCAATGTGCCAAATCTGCGTTTGTGAGTTGTTTATTTGAAATTTACAAACAATGACAAAACCTTTCTATATTTCTCGTTACACAGGCAAAAAAAGAGGAGGTCAAACCGTTCAGTTTTCCGGATTTTCCAGTAGATGTTAATTCTGCACTTCCTGTACCATTGTACCCACCACCTGTCAACTGCGATCCGTCACAGAATCCGGCATGTCCGCCACAACTTATTTTAGTCCTGCCTCCACCCCCAATGCTTCCTATGTTTCCACCAGAATATTTTCCCCAAGCTCCCCCGCCAGAATATCCACAACTGCTTCCCTTGCCACCTACTCCTATTCCACAACCCCTTCCACCTCCCCCAGTACTTCCACTACCACCTCCTGAAAATTTTCCCGTTCAGGCTCCTCTTCCGTCTTTCCAACTTCCTCCAGTCCAAACTCAAATACCATCTCCTGTTCCGCCCCCATATCCACTACCATCTGTCGGTGAACAACTCCCAAGATGTACCTCCTGTTCTTCTCAACCTGCTCCTTGTCCCTCTTGTGCGGCGAAAGCCCAAAATGTTCAGCCACCTCAACAAATATCTTCAGTACTTCCTCAACTTTCCTTGCAATCGTTACCAAGATGCTCATCGTGTTCTGGTGCTGCAGCACCTTGTAGCAGTTGCGCAGCGAAAGCCCAAGCCTCGGCACTACCTTCAAATCCTCTTCAAACTTCATCTCAGCTTCAGTCAGGATTACCAAGATGTTCTTCGTGCGCTGGGAGTCTAACCCCTTGTCGCTCATGCGCTTCCAAAGCGCAAGCTAACCCAGGGGATTTTAGTAGTTTAACAGATTATTCCTATTGTCCTGTTGCTTATCCTGATGGTAATTTTATCCCTGCAGACGCAGTTTCTCAACAACTGGCCTACAAAGCAAGGCAAGAAGAAAAAATCAAAATCGAGGGAGAGATTGCGTACGGGTTTAAAACACTTCCAATCGAATTAGACCAGATTGTGGTAAATGTCCTTCTTGTCATTAAATAGAATTCATTTATGTTATAATATTTGTTCTTACAGCCCAGCAAAGAACGCTATCCCGAAGAAGCGTTGTTTCAATTCAACGGACAGGTGATGGAATTCCTCCCGGAAAAACTGGTCCTCTCCAAGGCGTTTGATCCATATAAAGGGTCTGAGGTGTTAGTCGCAGCTAAAGTTCCAACACCTACTAAAAAACTTAGTCTTCCTGAAATAGGTTTTGGGCCAGTAATAGGTAAATTTTCGGAACTTTCAAGGCATGATATTTTTATTGATATAAATAAATAAATCACCTTTTTCTAGTTGAACCTTCTCCATATATCAAAAAGGATTGAAAGTTATAAAAAAAGGATAATAATATACAATCCTGGAAACTTTGACATTGGAATCGTTATGGCGAATAGGCAGAAAAGGCAAAAAACAAATAAAAAAATATGTAAAAATTATAAATGGTTGCTGTCAAGAATTAGATAGCCTGTGGTTGAATGAGTTATGATATTATTGTAATAATGAGACTGTTGTTCGATATGTACCAAATAAATGCTAATGAAAGTTTAATATTGACGTTATCTTTTTATCGATTTAATTTAATCCTAGGTGCAATCGAATTTTTAAATGGTTTTCTTAAAAATTCAAAATTCTGTTTTATTGATACATAATAACATAAAAATTAAAGAAAAAGTGTATTTAATAACAGATAAAACAAAATTAAATTGTCGAATTTAAGCTAAATTACTGTTTTACATTATGCATTCACAAATGCATTGAATTCAATGCTAGAAAAATTATTTTTTGTTGTCTAATACAGTTTCCGAAATTAACAATAACTGTTATTTTAATTTCGAAATTAACTACTAAATTTTAAATAACCAAGTAATTGTCTTTACAAAGTGCATGTCATACATTTTTTTTTAAATTGGGAAACGCAATAATGAATGGATATTGTTTACCCATCTGAAAATTTTTTATGACCATAGCAAAAAAGTACAAGTGCCAATTATTTGTTACAACGAAAAAATAAAAATAAAAAAATTATTAGACACTACCTGTTACACGTTATATTTATGTTTTTTTTTATTAAGATCAGCTGTAAATTTAAACCTTCAATGAGATATTTCGAAACTTTTCAGTCCTAGCAATAGATTGTATTGTATAACATCATGTATGCACGTTAGTGACCTTGTTCCTCTAAAAGAATTGCACGAATTGCATAAATTGGCTTTATGTTTTTGTTCGAGGCATAAAACTGTACGATTAATATCTGACTTCTTTGATAAATAAATGTTATTGACTCTACGTCACGGTGCGTTTATTTGTAAACTCAAAGTCTATAAAATCAAGTATTACAATGGCAACCCCTGTATCTGCAACGTGCTAATAACGCAGTATGCTTTGAAAGTTACCCATAATGAGACGACTTATCGTAATCGCGTGCTTGATCGCTCTGGCAAACTGCAATTGTGGATGTCTAAAGGTGAATAAAATCTTTGCTTATTTTGTCCGAAACCCGTTAAGAAATTAATTACTTATTAAATATCCTTGCAGTGCAACCCCCACTTAAAGCTGGTCTCTAAAGACGATTCACCGATAGAAGTTATAATCAGAGGGGATAAAAATGTCCCTCATCCCCCACAACAACACACCTGTCCCATGATGAGGCAATATTACCAAAGTTTAGGATATCCTTCGGTGAGTTTCATGGTCCCACTGTGAAATTATTTAGAGATTGCGTTGATGCGATCGACATAGTTTGTTCGATAACGAGTCAATCCAACGAATCACAGCAAGTCATACTTGATCGGAATGAATAGCTAAAATTAGTGGGGATGCTACTCCAAGGGAGTGCTATCTCCTGTGCGCGCAAGGACCATGTCGCTGGAGCTGTGAACCTTGCAGTTCCTAACAAAAATTCTTTTATCTTTTCGATAAATATTATATCAAATGGAAGACTATTTAGATTGTATCTAGGTGTAGTCAAAAGTAGGGTGAACGTAAATTATAATCCATTACTTTTTCTATATGCTACTTATTTTCCCATTATAATCAGACAATATGTCGTTAAATAATAATTGGTCCACACCCAACCTATACATTTATATAGACGGTTGTGGTGACATATAGATGGTGGTATAGATATATATATATATATACATACATATACACCTACTTTGATTTTTTTTTAGCGATTGTTCCGAAATACAGAATGATGTGTTATTTTAAATTTTACAGCTTGGCAATGCGTTACCAGAAGGTCACAATATAGAAGTTCAAGTGCCAATAGACCTGACACCATATCAACCCAATTATCAAGGTTTGGTAGCTTCGCCAGATCGAGTTATATTACCTGAAAAGCAATGTAAGTTCTTGTGGTTCACATTACCTACGGTAAATCGCGACTTAGAATGTTGTATTATTTACAGGTGTAAAAAGGAAACCTGTAGCGGTTCTACCGGAATGCAAATCCAACAATCACGAAGTCATTGAAGATTTACGAAACAGTAGGATGCTGAGGTACGATTATTATATTGTCCCTAAAGAAAACACCCTGTACACTGATAACAACGGCAACAAACTGTTACAAAGAATTCGCAATTTGAAACCGGACGTGACAATTCGTGTTCCAAAAGGAATCAGAGATAACGGTTGGAATAAGAATGAGAAATCCCTACAAAATATTCCATTATGCTCTTGCAGAAATTCAAACCCAAATTCAGCGAACGTTATTAAAAAACAACCTATGTACTACTACAACCCCGTAAGAAAGGCACCGATATCACAATTGCCGCCGTGTAGCCAGAGTCCTATTTTCAACAATGGCTTTATGAGAAGTAGTCCCGTCGTTCAAGAAGAAGAACCAGAAAGTGCTTTGAGGAATGGAAATAGTAACTGTTGTTGTCAAAAAAAGTTGACAAACAGAGAAAGTGACTATTCCTGGTTAAATAATCTAAATGCCAATGATCCAAAGAAACGTATCTTCAATTCGATCGATATGATACTTCAATATATGACAAAATGGGTTGAAATTAAAGGCGATCCGCCCACGCAGAAACAGAGTCAGATGACATTCATGATAAAAGAATCTGAAATCAACGAGAAATACAAAATGTCGTTCCTTTGGAACGACTACTTACATGAAGAACCATTGAAAGATATGCAAAGCCTGATTCCACTAGAAAAGAAACCGATTCAGCATCAGTCTCCACCCAAACTGGAATTCAATGAAAACCTTTTCTGGAAGAGCAAGGAATCGGAAGAAATAGATGCTCTTAATACTAATATTGTTGTTTCTGAATCATGCGAGTCATCACCCAATTTCAATGTTGAGATATCCGAAGTTGTATCGGAGATCGAAAATGATCTTTCTGATTCCAACGAAAAAGAAGATTCTGTAGAGGATTTATTTGATTTGGATTCTAGTAACGGGAGATATCCTCGAGATACTCTTCGGATTCAGAATCGCATGAAAACACTCCTCCTTCCACATTACGAGAAAACAGAATTTCCGTGGCAATTGGAATACCAGAAGCTTCTCAAAAAACCCGGCTACCAACATCCAATGGTTCGTCCTAAACCATCGACAAATACCACCAATGCAGTACCAAAACTCACACCTCTTACCAATAATGGATCACTAATTCTCAATGATTTTCAATTTAAAATGAACGAACTACGTAAACGGATAGAATCGAACCAAAAATCGACCAATCAAACCCAAACGACGTTATCGAAAGTATTGGGTGTAAAAGTGAACGTTACAGGAAGTAACACAAGTAATACTGTAGATATTAAGGAAAAAGTTGCAAAAATGAGGGAGAATTTGAAACAGAAACTGGAATCAAGGAAAAATTACACGTATCCTGAAGGAACTGAATTGGTCACCACTGATTCTCAAAAAACAAACGAAAGGAAAAAGAGAGAGACATACTTTGATACAGACATACCATTTTTTAAGATAACAGACGCAAAATCGTTGACTAAAAACACAGTTGACAGTGAGGAATCTGAAGAAATCGAATACATTTTGCAACAAAAGAAAGAAGCTCGGTTGGAACAATCCTTGATGAAACCATTCAACGCTGAACACATTGTACCGCACGACCCCATCTTCTACCTACTCAATTTTCCCATTAGGTGTCTAGATCACCTCAACAGTTTGAAGGATCAGTTGTCTCCAATACTTCACGCGTTCCCACTTATGCTACAAAAGTCTCGTAAATATTTCAAGGACATGTCGAAAGACGCCAAAAAGGACGTTCTGGACTTTGGAAGTAATGTAGTGGGAAGCTTCACTCGTCTATCTCCTTCAAAAAATCCCTGGGACGTTGTTACTCCGTCTAAAAGGAGAAACAAGCGAGAAATAGATAAAGAAGATCGGAACTTATCGGTCACATTTGTGGGTCGTGTTGATCCGACCGCATATTCGAGTACTTCAGAATTGTATGACATGATGTTAAATAAAACCCGAGAAGACGATCCTCAGATTGGTTCTGTAAATAGTAAGGAACGTCGGGAAGACGTAAAGGCTTTAGAGCAACTGTTGGGCAAAGTTTTGTGGGCTGCCGGTAGGGATAAAACTCAACAGAAAGTTGTCGAAAAAGACAAAAATATAGACACTAATACAGTGATGGAAAGCAAAAGTGGACCATCGTATGAACCGTTGTATCAACTGGCATACGAAAGTTATGATCCTTACGAGGAAGATTCTGAAACTGACAACGTTTCTAATAACGAAAACGAACACCAAACAATTTTGAAAAGTGACGTTGTACTAAAAGAACCCCTTGTTCAACACTCTAGGCGAAAAAGGGCGATTTTTAAGCTTGTGGACGAAGATGAGATCGGCGAGTATTTGAAGGAGAAGTTTTCATCCTTAGAAGACGTTCCAGAATTTTCAGACGAGTATCATCTGCAACGACCTGAACCAACAGTACTACGGTCCACAAAATATGCAAACAAAGAAACCGATTCCTCAAAGAACAAAATTGTTCTCGAAAGGATTGTTCCCAAAATTATAATAGACGATAATGGGAGACCCTTTGCTGAAATCGACGGAATGAAACGGCCTCTTTTCAACACACTGAAGAAACCATTAAAATCTAGCTCGAAATCGCCAATAGTCGGAAGCAACCATCAAAATGCTCATACCAAAGACGGTAGCCTGTCGTCCGTTATAGCGAAAGCTAAGAGATATACTAAAGACGGTGAAAATTTCTTGCCAGGATATTCTCATGATACAAATGTACACACGAAAACTATAAAGAATCGATTAAGTCAAATTTTGGACTATATCGAGACCCTTCTTCACTGGGACTTCGAAGACGACGTGCACATTTACGAAGATCTATTGGAACTCCAAAACAGAAAAGAGGCTGTTATAAGAAATTGGAAGATGCTTCTCGTTCAAAATAGACACAACATTGTAAATGAGAAAATCGTTCTTTTGAAAACTCTGAAGAAGATTCAAGAACTGAAAGACAGCTCCATGGCTCACATAGTCGATAAACTGCACGAAGGTCATTCATTTAATACCAGAACGTTTATAAAGTTCCTTATCATGCTCCAGAAGCTTCATTGCCTGATCGTGAAGGTTGCCGAAGAATTTTCTGACAGCCTCCACATTGGCAAATTTGATGTAGATAAGGAAATTGAATTTGTCGATTATTTGCAAAACATCGAATTCTTCGATTGTGAAAATCAAGAAGAAATCCGTGAGGTACTGGAGAAAGAAAGGGATAGTGAACTGGAAAGAGAAATAGCCATGCTGGAAGACCTCAAGCAGTGTTTAGCCTTAGCCCAAAATGACAAAAAATACGACCATTTAATATTTGAGGAGGCTAAACTCCTTTGGGAATTCAAAAACATTGAAAAACTACAACAGGAGTCCTTAGCGGAAATGAATAAAAAATTAAAAGCTGGATTAAAGATTAGGAAAGAGCTTAAGATATTATTTGATTTGCAAAAACAGTACGACAGTTGTGAAGAAAAACATGCCATTTTAATAGACGAAATATTAAGGGATGGCGGAAAGAAATCAAAAACAATCCGTCTACAGGACGAGAAGTTGGAGGAACTCAACTTGCTGGGGTCGAAAAAGCAAAAAATGAATAAAATCAAAAAACATCAAACCACACTTAAACCAAAACATAACAGTTTATCACTGCTAAGTAACAATAATCGCAGTCCTCATAGAAAAACGTTCCCCAGCGAATTTATTTTTGATAATTACAGATATATAAGAGAAAAAAATTAGATTTTTATTAAACGATTTAGATGCTGTTCTTGTTTGTTACTCGTTTGTTACATAAAACAAAATAAAAACAAATTTATATCAAGTTACACTGAGCTCTGAACGTCTTGCAAACTAATTTTTGTTTGTTTTAGGTCTTAATAGGGTAAATCGGGGTCAAACTTACATAACAGAGCGAAAACTTGACATAAATTTACCTTAATGTTAACCAGAAATATGTATTATAATTACAGTGTAAGTTAAATTATTATTATAAAATCGTTAACTATATTTTATTTTCTGAAATAAAGACTGTAAATGTTTTCTACTGAATTTTATTTAAAAAAAAAAAATTAATAAAACTATTAAGACAACTAACACTTCTTGACATACTAAAATAATAAAATTAGGAAACGTATTTTTAATTTAATGCTTAATAATTATTATTTTATAAAAAACTAGTAGATGCATAAAATATTCTATCCAGACTTACCGTTCAGTCGCAACACCACAATTGATGTGATCACTGGAACACAAAAGGAAGAAACGTAAAATTTCAATTTTCATTTACAATTTTAACAAACAAAATATTATTAATATGAGGTAATTGACATTTCCGTTGTTCGGGAAAATCATTATCTTCACCTATAAATTTATAATTCTGGGTAAAACTGAAAAAAAAAAATAGAAATCTGCGTGTTGATAATAACAGTAAACAAAAATCAGTTCGTTGCACCTTGATTAACAAGAAATAAAACAAAATGTGTCGATATACGTGTCAGATAAAATATAAAAGGAATCACTGTGCTCTTTTCTTTTGGATTTTAGTTCAAAATGATCGCAGCAGTCATGGTGCATCGATTTATCACTTTGTTTCTAATAGGGATTTTACTTCCGGTAAGTTACAAATTATTTTTTCTTTAACAAGTATCGCAAACTATTTTTTTTATTGTAAAGCACAAATAATAATTCATTTCGTAGATTAGTATTGCACGTCCACCAAAAGAGATAAAGAATAACCAACACGAGAGAAGAAATTTTGACGAAGATAGACCTGCAGCAACCCTAAATTGTACCACAACAGGCAACAATAGGAAATCTTCCACCAATTCAAATGTATTTGTTAAAGCTTATGATACCCTGTATCCCGATATACCACACAGTCGTTACATGGACTTGATTATTTCTTTGGACGAGCCTCAGCAATCGTCAATAAGAAAACATCATAATCGATCGGAGAGACACCCGAAACCACATAAGAAAATGACTGTCCATTTCGTACCCGTTCCCGTAATGATGCAAGAAGATGAATACGAAGGAATATACCCTTTCCAATACCCTTACAGGCATTTACCCCCAAGTGATTACCATAAGCACTATTATATGGAAGACGATTCAGAAGAGATATCTGAAACTTTGTCCGAAGTTAATCAAATGAGTTCTACTAATAAAACCCTTGAAATAACCGACGATGAAACAGTTTCTAGTGATACAATGCTTCAATGTGACGAAAACAAATCTAAACCATGTACAGAACATCAAAACAATCCAATTGAGAAAGACTTAACTTCTTGGGGAGTATATGAAGAGGACTTAGAAGATAATTCATCGTTATCATCCGAAGAAGGAACTTCTGATATGGAAACGAAAGTTAATCAAAGGATTGGATTAATGACAAGGGATTCAATAAAAGCCTCTCAATTGAGCCAAAACGTCAAAATAAGCAATCATGTTACAGGGAACAATGACACTAATTCCAGTCATGATTGTGTTAAACACCACATCATCCAAATAATTAATATCAACTCGAAAGATTTTGACGATGAAAACCATGACGAATGGTACGAGGTGGAAGACGAAGCTAAATCACTCAGTGATGACTTGCTGGTCAACAGCAGTATCAATAAAACAGCATTGACTCCCAAAGATATAATGTTTTTGCTGAAGAAAATGCTCGTTTCTGCAGAGCCCACGGTTTCAGAGGAACGCAGGAACGAAAGCATTTCATACGTGGAAAAAGAAGAAAGTTACAACAACACCAAGGAAGATCTAACCATTACGATAGACGAGTCTAAAATGCATACTTTAGAAGAAGAAAAAGTAGAAGAAGATGATCTAAAAACGGACATAGAAGAAGAGAATAAGACTACAACCATACAAAATCAAAAACAAACCGAATCGTTCAATCAACATGAAGAGGAACTTCATGCAGGTGTTTCAGAAGAAAAATCTTTTTCCAAAAGATCAAGTCTTGAAACTACTGGAACTCTGGAGCAAAGAGACCCATCCAAACGCTCTCCCCAAATGGGAATGCCGAATCTGAACGAAGAAGAAAGTTCCCCGAGAAGTTACAAACATTATGACGGTGATGATGTCAGAGAACGGACTAGAGTACAAAAGATTCCTAGAAAAAGAAAATTTGCAGGACCATCAAACGTGGAAGGCCAAGATAAGCACTCTATAGAAGCAAAAAATCGTTCAAAAAGAGAAATTTCAGAAAATAATCCAGAGGAAGAAGTTTACAACATAAAGCAAAAGGCTTCTATAAGGAACAAAAACAGAAAGAAGCCACTACCAAATGATCCTACAACAACAAAAATTGAGCAAGACGTTGTAATTTTTAATGACGGTAAAAATAGAAATAAAGTTATCAAAATACAAACTCCTGTAAGAAATTCAGACAATGGGAATGTGTATAATTTCCTGCAACATAACTCCATAAATGCTGAAACGAACTGCAACCCTTCTTCGGAGGTATTGACTCAAAACGTTAAAAGGGATGAAGAAGGTAAGCCTATAAAAGAAGGAGATAACCACAACCCTTCTTCAGAGGTAATGGTTCAAAACTTTGGAGTGGACAAAGAGGATAAATCTACAAAGGAAGAGGATGGCTACGTCCCTCCTTCACAGGTATTAATTCAAAACGTTGGAATAGACGAAGAAGAAAAAGAAGATAAATCTACAAAGGAAGAGGGTGGTCGAAGTCTAGAAACCTCTCCTGTACTTCTCGGAAGTGAAATGCCATGTGACGAACACGCAGGGTGTAAAAGTGATACTGAAATCAATCCAAAACAGCATAAACTCTCTAGAAAATTACCTGTTGAAGAAAAGTGTAGAAAAATTTTTGAAATTTTAAATCTTGACCCATACGAATTCCGAAATGGTGATAGATCACGACATTTTCCTCAGATAATAAATCAAATTGCCCAGATATTTCCTTATCCAGGAATAATGAAGAATATGGAAGAAACGGATCCATCTGTTGTCTCATATGACGGCGACGATTCAAAAAAATAAACTATTGCACCCCCTTAATTATAATAATATAGATACATATGCATTAAAATAACATTNCTAAGACTACGTTTTGTATGATGCCCATTTAGGTTTGTCATTTCCCTTCGATGTCATTATAAGCGTATTCTACTATAACCAAAAGAAAAAAAATACGACGAAAATTCTTTCGAAGAAATTCAATTTCATGTCTAATAACGAAAATAAAGTACTAAAAAGTATAAGAAATTATTTAGAGGTGCCCCCGCTAGCGATCTCGTATTTTTCTTATAAAAAGAAAGGAATTATTTTTAGGATCTTAAGACGGCCCTGATTTTAATGAAGTAAATTGTTAATTAGGTGACCCTGGACAAAATATTAGATGTATATACGCTTCTCCGAAACTATTGGCTGATTAAGCAATTATTGCAAGAGATGTCCTTACAAAGTATAAAACAATATGTGACAATATCCAATTTTTTTCAAGTAAACAAATGTCTGCTTGTTGATTTGCACATAAATATAAAGAGCAATAATGTTATTAAATGAATTTATAAATTCAATTAGTGTATTATTGATTACTAGTTACGTATAATGGCTCTGAAATATTGTATTTTGACTATGTTAGTTGTTTCTATCATACTTTTTTTACCGGTACGTTATTATTTTTTTGTTTTTTAATTCAGTATTGTGCAATTTTTAATTTATTTTAGGCCTTTTGCAATAGTTCGATCCTTAAATCACACCATTCAGAAAATGTGATTAAACCAGTTCTTCCTTCAGATGCGTAAGTAAATTATTTTAATTAACAAGGATATGTAAGCATACATTTTCATATTTTATTAAGGAATGTTCTAAAATTTGAATCAATTTATTAGACATCTAGTTCGAACGGGTTCAACTAGTGTATGAGACTTTAAAAATTAATGTCTACTTAAAGTTGCTTTGTTTGAGTGGTTTTCGTTGTATTTAAATGTTAAATAATCCATTATTTCGTTAGAAATTACCTCAGTTTATGTATTATTTGCTTTCAATGATATCTGTAACTTTGTTTGTTAAGTAGCAAACAGATTAACAATTATTATTGTTGTTTCATGAATATTCCAATCGCTGTACAAAGAATCAACTATCTGTAATCGATAATGTTTATAACGTAAACAAATAATTTCATTGTTTTACTTATTGGGCAATTAAATATATGAAATCCTATGACATTGTTAGTTACTTAATAGTGGATTAATATGCAATATTAATTTGAAATCATTTTTTCGATTTTTTATTTACCCACTACAAAGTACCTCAAATTAATGAGGGAAAAATTGTTGCTGTCGTTACACCCCCGCCGGGAATCGAACCCGGGACCTTTGGCTTGACGCACCAATGTTCTGACCACTAAACTACGAGATGTGACAACAGCAACCGCGACAAACCGACGTACGTAAAGCCAAAGGTCCCGGGTTCGATTCCCGGCGGGGGTGTAACGACAGCAACAATTTTTCCCTCATTAATTTGAGGTAGTGTGTAGTGGGTAAATAAAAAATCGAAAAAATGATTTCAAATTATTATTATTGAGCAATATTTTCTTTTATTTTACGTTAAATATTAGTATGTATAGTTAATAATTGTATATTGTTTTGTTTATAGTGTCCGAAAGTTACCATTGAAAGGAAGCCCAACATTTGTAGGTTTCTTTAATCATTTATCTAACAAAGGCAAAGTTGCGGCTAAAAACTCAATAGCAAAAGCTACTAATAGGAAACTGAAGTCTGATTATTCCAAGAAAACAAAGAAATTACGATAAAACTGAGTTTAGAACTGTAGATATATTTTTAATTAATTTTAGGTAATAATTTGTTAATTAATGTTTAGCTAATAAAATATTTTGTTACAAAAACGGATCAGTTTTGTTTTATTTAAACCTTCGTATTTTATTATTGAGTTTTTAAACAGTAATCAAATAAAAACTCGACTAAAATAATTATTTTCCATTACATTAAGAATAATCATCGATAAAATTAGTACTAATATAAGTTTACATTACTCTAAATATACAGGGTGTCCAACTGAGTTCATAATTACGAAGTTTTAAGTTTTGAAAAACATACTTATATGTTTGTTTTGTAATTTATTTGTGTTTAATTTATAATAAATCGCCTGTAGCAAAGTGGTAACACTCAGTACAGTATACTGACGCAATAAATATTTCGGACAATTAAAGATACAAAGCGGAAACATTTAAGTAATTATTAACATATCGTTTTGGACTGAAATTGAACATTTTAATCGTTATACCTAACTGCAAAAGCCTTGGATTTTATCAATGTTTCTTAATACGTCTGACATCTTGCTGTAACTAATCAGTTATCAATTTATATGCCATGGTTTGAGAACAGCAAGTTCATTGGGGTTAAAAATTTCTTTAGAGCAACATCTCATTCTTCAAAGACATTAGTTTCCTGTAATATAATAGAACTATGGCATCGAAAATCATAATTGCATCAGTTCTCATTTTTGTCGTTTGTCAGGTAAGTTTTTTTTTAATGTTTTAGATTAGAAATTTTCAAAATGTGCAGTTTCTTGAAAAAAATGTTGCATAAGCAGTGTTAGAAAATCATTTTAAATATTTATTTTAGTGCTAAATAATATTTATGCTATCATTTTAAATTTATGATCCTATTGAATTTTATCAAAACTATTACAATTAAAAGGTGATATTGTGCTTAATTATCAATAAAATAGTAATATCACTGTTTTTCTTTGTTTTTGCGAATTATTTGGTTGTTAATATTTACATTCAAAATTCTTCTATTTATGTGAAAAAATACAGATAATCATTTAACTTTTATAAATCCGAATCTGAAGCAGGAGTTAAGAGGAGTAGAAGTAGACCTAGATTAGATTATTGTTCACAAATAGTTAAGGGTGCGGGATGTTCTAGTTTTAGGGAAATGCGAAGATTAGCTCTGAATCAGAAAAAGTGGAAGTACGTGTCCAACTAATCTTAACCCTGACTACCTTATGATGATGACGATAAAATCCGAATCTGAACATCGTCCGGTAGTACAGTGGAATTCGTTTATTATGACTCCGCCAATACTGACCAACCGCTTAATATGAACTAATTGTAGTGTTAAGTTTGCTTTTCATATTAAATTCTCTATAGGAAAGTTTGGATATAATGACTCCGTTTAAAATGACATATCGTTTATTATGACTGATTCTTAAGAAATCATATCTGGCTATAGAGATCCAAATAATTAATAATAACATTTTCGCTCATTTTTCTGACCCTTCTTATGTATATTGATGTTACAATTCATCTTTCTTTTTCTGTTAGTAAATATATACAATTTGTAGCTTTTCTCTCTATTAAACTTAATAACTAACCAAAATAGAAAGTTATTTATTTTCTAAGACTACGTTTTGTATGATGCCCATTTAGGTTTGTCATTTCCCTTCGATGTCANTATCATTTTAAATTTATGATCCTATTGAATTTTATCAAAACTATTACAATTAAAAGGTGATATTGTGCTTAATTATCAATAAAATAGTAATATCATGTTTTAATTGCAATTAAAACATGATATTACTATTTTTTATTACTACCTTGATAAAAACCAACAAGGTAGGCGAAACGTTAGCTGTAGTTTTTCAATAAACAAAAAAAATCTTAACCCCTTGCTGGTTTAATTTGAAACCGATTTGTAGAATAGGGGACGATAAAGAATTACCGATATTAGAAAATTGCGAAACAAATCAAAATTACAGTTGACTTAAATGAAATACGAAATTAATCGATAAAGTGCATAATATTACGTCTTACTTCATGAATTTTCTAAATATACAGAGTGTACAGCTAAATATATTTGAAATTAATTTTTATTTGTTGATGGTAGGTTAATTTGTACATTTATTTATGACATCTATTGCAAATTGAGTAACATTGAATGCAATTCTGACTCATGAGAATATTTTGCTTATATTAATAGAAGACCTCTACCAACTAAATAGGCAATAATGGTTCCTACATGATACATTATTCCATACACTGTTTACCATTTATAGAATAGCATATTTTTAATACGTACACAGTTTGACCTTAGTCTTATGTATATTGATGTTACAATTCATCTTTCTTTTTCTGTTAGTAAATATATACAATTTGTAGCTTTTCTCTCTATTAAACTAAATAACTAACCAAAATAGAAAGTTATTTATTTTCTAAGACTACGTTTTGTATGATGCCCATTTAGGTTTGTCATTTCCCTTCGATGTCATTATAAGCGTATTCTACTATAACCAAAAGAAAAAAAATACGACGAAAATTCTTTCGAAGAAATTCAATTTCATGTCTAATAACGAAAATAAAGTACTAAAAAGTATAAGAAATTATTTAGAGGTGCCCCCGCTAGCGATCTCGTATTTTTCTTATAAAAAGAAAGGAATTATTTTTAGGATCTTAAGACGGCCCTGATTTTAATGAAGTAAATTGTTAATTAGGTGACCCTGGACAAAATATTAGATGTATATACGCTTCTCCGAAACTATTGGCTGATTAAGCAATTATTGCAAGAGATGTCCTTACAAAGTATAAAACAATATGTGACAATATCCAATTTTTTTCAAGTAAACAAATGTCTGCTTGTTGATTTGCACATAAATATAAAGAGCAATAATGTTATTAAATGAATTTATAAATTCAATTAGTGTATTATTGATTACTAGTTACGTATAATGGCTCTGAAATATTGTATTTTGACTATGTTAGTTGTTTCTATCATACTTTTTTTACCGGTACGTTATTATTTTTTTGTTTTTTAATTCAGTATTGTGCAATTTTTAATTTATTTTAGGCCTTTTGCAATAGTTCGATCCTTAAATCACACCATTCAGAAAATGTGATTAAACCAGTTCTTCCTTCAGATGCGTAAGTAAATTATTTTAATTAACAAGGATATGTAAGCATACATTTTCATATTTTATTAAGGAATGTTCTAAAATTTGAATCAATTTATTAGACATCTAG